CCCCTCCCCAAACAACCATGATAGCAATTACAATTTTTAATTAATAATGACTGCAATGAGAAATAATCAAAGAAGAAGAAAAATAAGGTGGACTCTGTGATGTGCTGGTATTTAGACTTTTGTTTTGTCTTCTGTTGTCAGAATTCTGTGGTTGTCACCGAAGCGCTTCTTGTGGGGATAATCCGGCCAGGCCAGATCCCGACAAGGCTAGATCTTGATCTGCTGTGGAAGATTTCGATTGCGTGTTGTTGGTGGAAAGTAGCAGGGCAAGGCGTGCGGCTGAACTAGGTCAAGTACAGGAATCATGTGTGGGTTCAGGTCAATCTGACTGTTCGGCTTGTCTATCGCATCGGCCCAGTCAGCCGTCGGTCTGTGTGTCGGTGTAGATCCTGTATCCAGGTCGTGGGTTTGCGTTCGCTGTTGCAAGCAAGTAGTTTGTCCCTCGCCGGCTTCGCACACATCTGTCTGCCTCAAAGCATCACTTTATTCGGATTGAGAACTGTATCGTCAGTGCGTTTGTTGTGCTGATCTGGAATTAATATTTTCTCTAACGGCCAAGGATATAATCTAGAGATCTACTTCCGTGGAAAGATGGGTTCGTCTGACGTTCTCACTTTAGACTTGACTGTCTCCGACTCCAACTTCCAGGATGATGCAAAAAAAATCCTACAGAAAATAAGACCTGCTTGGGACCTTGACAGCGTCAAATTTACAGTGAGTTTATAGTTTATTCTAGTTTAGTCTAGATCTACGTTTTGTAGGCTTTAAAGACCTAAAAGTCTCATAGAGCCTACTACTGGATCTTTAATCCAGATGAAAGTGGCTATTCTCACCCACCCGGAAGTTCTCAGTTCTCGCAAGATCAACTCCTCCCCTCTTCTCTCTCTCTCTGTCTCTTTCTGAATACTGTCTATCGGTGTGGACGATCAAATTGACCAAAACAAAGATTAAAAAATGATGTTAAAACACAAAAGTAAATTAATTTGGTTGTCTACACAAAGATGCTACGGCTATTTAACTTTTCGAATCGAGCCGAACTACGCGGGTCACCATTTTGTTTTGCCCGGAAATTCTCGCGCTACTCCTCTCTCTCTTTCTCTCTCTCTCTCTCCACTGCCACAGACAAAATTGTACGCTTTTAGTAGGCTACAGTTGTAATGGAACGTTTGTTCACGGCACAGAATTCTACAATTTTTCTGTTATCACAGTGTAGAATTCTGTGGTTTAGGGTGAACGCAAAATTTGGTGAACGCGCACCGGGTGACAATAGCCACAAGACTCGCCTGCACTATTCTCACTCCGGGTGAGAATAGAGGTGGCCAATCCAGATTAGGCCAGGGACCAGGCTAGGCAGTGGTCACCAAAGCCAAAGCTTAAAGGTCGGCTCTATTTATGTCCGAACGTTCGGGAAATATACTTGAACTCTATTTCTCCGAACGGTTTCCGTTCTCGAGATTTGTTGATAGCCTAATAAGCGAATGGAGTGGCCTGTGTGTTTTAGTGTGTGAGTGTGATGTGTGTGTGTGTGTGCGAAAGGTGTGAACGGGGTAGGTGGGGCAAGGGGGATTTTTTTTTCGGCTAGCCACTTCTTTTTTTTTCCATGAAGGATTTTAGTTTTTGCTGGGTGACTAAAAATGCAAAATAGGTTGTAATCACTGCCTAGGTCGAGAAGTCTTGTTTTCTCGCTGTACCTTTTGAAGGTATTCTCAAATGAAGTATAGACCGGGAACGTTGCCCCAACCACAACTGAAGTATAATCTGAATATTCAGACATTTAGAAATCTCTAGCTCTAGAAATTGAATTCGATGCAAAAAATGCTTCTTCCCAGTCCTCGCAGATTGGCAAAATAAAAGGATACCGTCTAAATCTTGCAAATTTAAGGTAACTTAAAAATCTCGAGATCGGAAACCGTTCGGAGAAATAGAGTTCAACTTTATAGGGGTTTCCTGTAGCAGGGCTATGAATTCTTTTAAAGTCTGACAGTGTCTTTGCAAGCTCCATTTTCTTGTTCTGTATTATTTATTCTAAATCAAAACACATTTCTGTGCAGATTTTACAGGAAAACCTTAATTAAAATTAAAGACACCAAAAATGTACATTTTCAGTTTCCAAGGACTCTCAAACTTTGGGAATCACCAAACTTCGGCGGCCATTTTCTCATTAATTTGACCTTTGAAGCCAGGCGACCCCTATCCTTGTCAATTACAAAGATCTCGACTTCTGTTCAAGATAATTGGGTATTTTTTTCATCGAAAGCAAGATAAATAAACAGGCTTTAGGATTATAATACCAATTTATAACTGAAATGCCCCAAAATTGACGAGTGCCTGATTCCACCGCGTTGTGACACAACTTATGGCGATTGATGTTGAACGTTCCCGGGTCCCTTTACTGATGGCAGACGATAATTTTTTGTGCTGTTAAAATATAAAAACCCGATTTAGATTGTCTGAAGACGAAGTGCCAAATTTATTTCACATTCAGTTTGTGAAGAATATTAAAGTGAATGGGCAATGCTGCTTTATAAATATTATAATAATTTCCTTTTTGTGCTGTACGCATGGCTGTTTCTTGTTCCTGAAAGATCGAACTGCGACCTCACGGTGATCCCTATGGTTACCCAGATGTTGTGTACAAGAGATGTGAAATGGGGATGTGGGTGGGGGCTGTTTTCAGCTACTTTACATAATTGTTCCTCTGGTTCGGCTTAACTCCATCCTTTCCTACTGTTCAGACACCACCGCATGTTTTATTTGAGGATTTTTCTGTGAAAGCATTTCTTTGTACTTCACATCATGTTTGAAAGATTAATTTTGTTCTCCCTCCTTCCCTCTTGTGCGGGTGGTTGGTTGGTGGGTGTTTTCTGTGGGGTCTGCTCTCTCTACTTCATGTCATGAAATCTGTCCCCGGCAAGATATGAACTTCTATTCTCTCCTCCCTCCTACTCCTTCTTCTCCTCATCATTCTGTCTTTCTTTTTCTGTGTCACTTTCTATAGAATCTATCTCTCTCACACTTTACCCCCCTATTTCTCTTTCCCTCTGGTAAC